CCACTTGTTCAGTCCTGTTTACCAGAAACTGTTCTACGTGCGTGGGAAAGAAGCCGCTCGATGGAAGATACTGCGTCACAGCAAAATAGTGCGCGTTCGTTGGATAAACTTTTGTGCTTTCTTCAAAATGAAGTGCAAAGTGAGGAAATGATTAAGCTCGCTCCTACCGGGTTGGGAGCTTCACCTTCTGCGCATTCGCGTCCCCATTGTGATGATCCGGGTTGATCTACATCTGCTGCCTTGGTAAATGTTCAAGATATTACAGGTAGGCGAAATTTACGTTGTATTTTTTGTGAGAAATCACACAATTCTTCCGAATGTTTTTCTTCTCGCAAAATGTCTTTAGAAGATAAACGAAAGCTTTTGGTGCAAAAGCGCGCCTGTTTCGCTGCCTACGAGTTGGACATAGTTCACGGGCATGCAAAACTAAAGTAAAGCGAAATGAAACTTTTATTTTAAGTAATGTGTTGTCTAATCAGTCAACTGTTAATGGAAATGTGTATTTGCAAACACTTGTTTTAAAAATAGTATTTGAGGGTAGACAACTTACAGTTCGTACGATTTTGGACAGTGGTTCTCAGAAATCTTATCTTTCAGAAAGGGTTATCGCGTGTTTGCAACTGCGTCCTAAATCGAAACAAACCATTATACACGGTTTGTTTGGGTGGGGAGAGAGACAAGTCCTCATTCCCATTTAGTGTTTGATGTTAATTTAAGAAATTTTGAGGGCACTTATGACCATAACTTTGAAGTACTTTCTCAAAACAAAATATGTGGATGTGTTCCAAAAGTAGTTGATCCCAATACCCTAAAAGAATTAAAAGAAAGAAATATTACCTTGTCTGATTTGCAAGCTAAAGAATATGACATTGAGTTGCTTTTAGGAGCAGATGCCATTGGGGACATTATTACTGGCAGCTCTCTGAAACTGAACTCGAACTTAACTGTAGTTGAGACTAAATTCGGATACACTGTGATTGGTAAAGTAAACAGCTTATCTAAAGAAACTACTTCAGCTACTATTCCAGCATTACTACAAAATAATTTGTGCAATAATGTAGTTTCGTTGCATTGTGCTAATCTTAGCGTAACCGAACTCTGGAATTTAGATGCCATTGGCATAACAGACCCAATGAAGATGTTAAACGTAAACTTGCTCACTCTGACACCGTTAAGCAATTTAAAGAGAATTTAAATGTTCTTCGTGATGGCCGATATGAATTGCCACTACCCTTTAAATCTGAAATTCTGTTACCTAACAATAAGTCTATGACTTTAAAAAGGCATCAAAGAATGTGTCAACGAATTAACGAGGAAAATCAGTTAGATGACTATAAGGTAGTTTTTAAGCAATGGGAAGACCTAAAAATAATAGAAAAGGTTCCTGAAACTGAAATTGATATTTTCAGTTATTATTTGCCCCCATAGACCTGTTACAAGGCATACTAGCCAGACAATGAAGGTAAGGCCGATATTCGACGCTTCAGCCCGAGAGAGAAATCAACCATCCTTAATGACTGTTTAAATAGAGGGCCGAACTTAATTGAACACATACCTGATATAATTGACAGGTTTATATTCTGTTGGTTTATCATCGGACATAGAAAAAGCATTTCTTCAGCTGAGTATTATCCCAGAACACAGATATTATTTGAAGTTTTTTCTTCCAACTCTTGAAGAACTTATGATTTACAGACACTGCAGAGTGGTGTTCGGCGTTTGTTCGTCTCCGTTTTAACTCTCTGCATCGATAGAGCATCTCTTGGATAATTCCCCAGCCCCGAGTTTGACGATGTGACCCAAAATTTAAAGCATTCGTTTCATGTTGACAGTTGTGTTACTGGGGTTTACGATATCAAACAGCAAGAAAGTTTTATAGTTAAGGCGACAGAAGTAATGGCTCGGGGATGTTTTAACCTACGGGGTTGGGAAAGTAATGTTCCAGGTCATTGTATTTCCTGTAGTTCAGGTATAACTTCTCTTCTTGGAATCTTATGCGATTTGGATAACGATACATTAAAATGTAATGTTAATTATTCAATGGATAATGAGATGATTAAACGTAATATTTTGGCTATGGTGCATAAAAAGTTTGATCCGCAGGGTTTTTTGAGTCCAACTACCTTATTACCTAAGTTACTATTACAGGATGCCTGGACTATGAAATTAAAATGGGATGATCTCTTGCCAGATAACATTCAGAAAACTTTTCAGAAGTGGCAGGATGAAATTAATTATCTTGAGAAAATTAGTATTTCACGATATGTAGAGATAAATGAGAATTCAGAGCTGCATCTATTCGTTGATGCTTGTAAGAGCTCCTTTGGTGCATGTGTTTGCATTAGAACTGTAACGCCCGTGGGAGTCAAAATTCGATTGATCAGAGCCAAATCCAGGGTAGCGCCTTTAAAATCTCTGACGATACCTTGGTTAGAATTGATGGCCTGTTGCATTGGCGAGAGACTGGTTCACTCAGTATACGCCGCCTTGGATTTGCCTGATTGGAAAATTATTGCATGGAGTGATTCTATGGTAGCACTTTGGTGGATTAAGAACCGTGGTGATTGGTCACTTTTCGTTGCGAATAGGGTAAAAGAAATAAACAGTCTTCTTCCTTCTCAGTGTTGGCGCCATGTTCCAGGTGATTTAAACCCGGCAGATGTGCTTTCAAGAGGCAGTTCCCCTCGTTCATTTTCCGATTCTCTTTGGTGTGAGGGTCCGTCCTGGCTCCTGGAACCTAACAACAACTGGCCACTAAACCGTTTGGCTTACGAGACCTCTGAGGTAGAACGAGAAAAAAGGAAGGTTAGATTGTGTAACCTTAATTCAGTTGAAGAGGAAATACCTTGGTATGCAATTAGGTTTTCGAATTTTCAATCCTTCATTTAGTGGCATGGATATTGCGGTTTGTAAAAAACGCAAAAAGTAAACGTGCATTTCGAGAGACTGGAGATTTAACCTTTCATGAGACGGAATATGCAGAAAAAACTCTTATAAAAAATGTACAAAATAAGTATTTTCTCTCCGCCGACTCTGTTCCCAATATGAGTGTCATCTCAGACAGAGAAGGTATAAAAAGGGTGAAAACGCGCATTACAGAGCGATCAGACGACCCTGAATTTATCTGTCTAATGAATTTACCGGACCGGTGCATTTTCACCCAGCGTCTGATAGAATATTATCATTTACAAAATTGTCACGCTGGAACCCAAATATTACTTAGAATATTAAGAGAGCGATTTTGATTGTGAGGGGCAGAAGACCGGTCGGGAAAGTCGTAAAACGTTGCGTAAGATGCAATCGATACAAGGCCAAGAGTCCCGGTTACGAGCCGGTGTCGCTACAAGGCGATCGTGTCAATGACGCAGCGGTGTTCGAGGTAGTAGAAGTTGATTTGGCAGGACCCTGATATGTGAAGGGAGGTGAAAAAGTTTGGATTGTTTTGTTCACATGTGCAATATATAGAGCCGTTCATTTGGAATTGACTTCCTCATTTTCTTCCGACGCATTCTTGTTGTCATTGAGACGATTCATAGCCAGAAGGGGGAGCCCGAGAATAATTTATTCCGACAACGGAACTAATTTCAGAGGAGCACAAATAGAACTTAGTAACACCGATTGGGAAAACGTTTTGAGGCAAACGGCTATACAACGTATAATATAGAAGTTTAATCCTCCCACAGCTGCTTCGTGGGAAGGCTGGTGGGAGAGGTTAGTTAGTGTAGTAAATGAACTGTTGAGAAGGACACTCGGTAACGCGGTTCTTACAACCGAGGAGTTGTACACAGCATTGTGCGACTGCAAGTCAATAATTAACTCTAGACCTCTTACTTATCTGTCGGAAAATCCAGATGATTTAATCCCACTTTCCCCAGCCATGTTTCTCATCGAGAATCGTAGCTTAGGTGTTCCTGATGTTGATTTCTGCGATTCGAAAGGTCTTCGAAAAAGGGCTAGACATTGCCGAAAACTACTTAATGATTTTAGGAAAGAATATTTAGGCCTTCTGGTCAAAATAAGAAGGATCCAGCGTCAGAGCTACGGCTGGGTGAAATTGTCCTAATAGGAGATGACGTAAAACAACGGATGCATTGGCCTTCAGCTAAGGTCATTCGACTAATTCCTGCGAAAGATGGCAAGGTGAGAACTGTAGAACTAAAGACTCAAGCTGGTACGCTGCTTCGTCCCATTTAGCGAGTCTTTCCATTGGAAGTGCAGTTAACGGACACACCCACTGATCTCATACACGATAACTCTTTTACTAATCCTATATCTTCTATTTCTAGTGATGAGCATTCAGATTCTAATGATTCTTCAAATGACTGTAGTAACATCCTGCAAGGTGCTAAAGTGTCAAGATTTGGACGTGTGATCAAGGTGCCTCAGAAATTGGATCTCTTCGACCAGTATGTCTTTGAGGCAACCTGAAGTCGACTCAAAGAGGGGGAGAATGTTGGAGACGGCTGCTGCAAACAGACGATTACGTAACGGCTGTGCGAAGTCCACAGAAGGAGCGCCGCATTTGATTGGACTATTTTTTATTATTCTTATTTTTTTCTTTTTAACTGGGAACTAAGCGGGGAAATTCCCTTTTGACTCAGTTATATGTATGCACTTGATAAATTAATGTAACGTTTTCAGCTTGTGTGAGATATCCATATTAAATCTTTATATTAATTATCCCTGCTGTGATTATTTAATTTGTAACCTGCACGTTGTAGCCCTGTGAGTTGCAACATCGGCAGTTCGAAACACGCTGCCTGCTTTTATCACCTGCTCCCTGCATGATTGCCTCTAAGTAAAGCCTCTATTTGATTAACTTATGCTATTTTAATGTTATGTGCATTTTTTGATATTCAGGGACGGAGCTTGGGCAAAGGGCAGTATTTATTGCGACCTGCAGCCACATACGACAGGATCTTCTGACACTAAGCTGATTCTAAGCCTCATGCCATGTAATAATAAATTTAAGTTTGGAGTTTAGTTTGGAACCCGCGCCAGCGGTTTGTCGTGTTTTTGCTAGTAATAAGATTTGTAATTCGATAAAATGTTAAAGTTAAAATTTTTTTACTGTTATTCATGAATAATTATTAACTTTGATTGTGTTTTCTATATCTGATTAATTTACGATGGGGAATGCTGAGATGAGAAAATTTTTATGTTTCTGTCTACTCTTAGAACTGTAGTGTTATCATTATTTATGTTATTCTTTCCGTATTTATTTGTGCCTTATTATTAGTTTAAATAGAATAATAAAGTTCTAATATTTTCTATTGTGTACAAAGTTAAAAATGAATGGAGTAAAAGAGGAGTTACAAGATTCTTTGACAGAACAGACCATGGCTTCGGAGGAAACTTATGATGTGAATTCCACTGAGAAAAAGACTAAGAATTCAGATTCATACGGTATGTACTTTAAAACCTTTTCTGATTCGTCGAGTATGTACTTTTAAAATTTTTTATAAATAAATGCAATCTCTGTATTTCCTCATGAGGAGAGTTAGAAATTTATGTCGGAGGTTCTGTTCGAACTTATAGTTTTTTCACGAATATGTGAAATTGATTTTACCGTTGAAATACAGTGGCACATATTTGATTTCACATTTGTGCCTTAGAGAAGTGACTTTTACTTTCACGTGTACTATTTCGTATCTTTTTTAAAAACCTGTGTTTTTTCTAAAAAAAAAAAGCTTATTTAATCTTCCAGCACGCACGCGTCGTATTTTTTACGACATCTGTTATTTTACCGTTTTTGGCACGAAAAACGACAGAAATGAGTGAATATTAATAATAAATTTGTTAAGAAATAAAATATTAATCTTGTTGCAAAATATAAATGATATCTTATTCGAATATAAGTAAATTATTTTTTTAAGTTCTTATGTTAGCGAAATGGAAAAGCAGTGATGTATTTCATTATAGAAAATTTTAAATTTATTATTTAATAATTATATTTTAAAATCGAAGCTAATTTTAATATTCATCAAAGGCAAGTATAGACAAATAAAAAAGGAAAACACTTTGGTAGGGAAAAAAGTAAGTTTAGCATTACTTACTTCTGCAAGAAAATTTAATTCTGACTGGTTACAAAAACACACTTTGGTAAAAGTATAGTTTAGGGTACCCCTTGGCGATTTTTTGTGGTACATGGATACCGATTTTGTTCAATTTTGTTACTCGTTAGACAAACAATTGCACAAACTCGGTATCCATGTGCATATCGACTTATTTTCACTTAAAAAAAAAAACCTCGTATTTCACAAAAATGGCATTGCGCACTTCTTTATTTATGTACACGTCGACCTATTTTCACTTAAAAAAAATCCCAGAATTGCACAAACTTGCATTATGCACTCCCTTTACTTTGTCCATGTACACATCGATATATTTTCACTTAAAAAGTCAAAGGAGCACCAAATTCTACAATATAGGCAAACAAAAAATACATAATCTCAATAAAACACATTTTAAACCAAACAATAAAATAACATAAAAAAAGGAAAAACATGTTATACGTTTAAGCACTACCAAAAGCAAATATTCACTTACCATGATTTTCGAGTTCGCTTCGTACACCCAGAGCCACGTAAAAATCAAAATATCAATCATACTCAGATGACTTTTTTCAAACCAGGTACTCTTTCTGATCGAACGCTTCACATAGTGACCATCTAAACCTCTTTTCCTACAAACCCATTCAAATCCATCTAAACGGTTTTAACACACACCACAAAAATGCTTACAAAACATCCTATGATCTAAAATTTCCCAGAATCATGCACCCGATTACGTCACAATAGGGTTTCCATAACATTCAACTACTCAGGCTACTATAAATGAAACAAGAACTTGGCGATAAATCAAACAACTTCGCCATAATACGAGGGGTACCTTAAAGTCTACTCTACCCTGCACTTTAAACTAACTTTAATATTTTTATTTATTTTTAAAAACCAGAAATAAAAGAAAATAAGGAATAAAAATTGTTGTTGTTCTCCCATCCAAAGGTTTTCTTATCTTCCGTTTCTTCATCAGATAATTATTGAAGAATGTGAGCAAAATTACACATATTTTTTTGCCACGAAAACTGGTATAAAATTAACCGAACCAAATGTATTCAAATTAAAATAATACACGGCAATTAATAACACAAAATTACAAAATATTTGAGAAAAAAAATTTCGAATTTTCATCCATGACCACACACGTGTCGTAACTTTTACAAAAAAGCTACCACGTAGCACAAAAGCCCAGGAAAAAAAAAAAAAAAAAGTCAAAGTACTTCTTGTTGGCACATTCAATGATGTGGGAAAGGATAGAAAGGAGGAGTAGAAATGACATGCAAATGTCTCAGCTTTGATATGCAAAAAATATGCATTAAAAAACTGAATTTGTCGTAAATTTTGCGCATACATGCGTGCTGGAAGGTTAAAAAAAATTAAGAAAATAAACTGACATAAGTATTCGGACTGTTTGGACAAGCAGTTTATATTTAATAAAATCATGAAAGTAATGGCACATCCAATATTTAATTAGGCTAAAATGCAGATTACGGTCCAGTCGTCAAATGACGCGAAATTGCGCCAAATCTGGTAACCTCTTGGCGTCATGAAAATTGTTAGGGTTTAAGGTTACAGTTTATAATATTAAGGCGGGCTTTTTGAATTTTCGTCATTTCAAATCAAAATTCTCGTGGTTTGTGTGAGCAAACTGGCTGGCGTCAAAAGAGTTGAACGTGTGGATTTTACTTATTTAATTCAATTGCAAGATAAGGGCGAAAGGCGTGTGATAGAATGGTGCATGGATTATGTATAAATTTATTGCTTATTACAATTTCTTAAATTTAGTGATAAAACGTTTACTCCATTTTTCTACTGTCTTAAAAATGGTATATGATATTATGAAAACTTTTAATATTGTTGATCCTATAAAATACATAGTTATTAACTTTCAAATACTCTTTTGTTGTTTTTCTTGAACTCCGGTTTTAGATATTTTTGGATGTTTACAGAAGTAATTAAAATTTGCGGTTGATCTTTGGATTATGGTAACTTGGCGATTTTTTGGCGACCAATTCTGCTACAGCAACCCTCTACTTTTTTTTTTTTTTTTTTTTTGCCGCCATTTTGTCTTCACAAAGTAAAGACATGCTCCTTTTCTTTTTCTTTTTATTTTTATAACACTTTCTCCAACAATCTACTAGCCGAATTACACTTATGCTAGAAATTGTATGTAACAAAACTGCTTAATCATGACAAATATTAACTGGAAAATTGGGAAAAAGTGCACAATCGCAAACTCCTTGCGTGTTTTTCAGAATAGCACATACACATAAACCATTTACACGTCGACTTATTTTTACTTCTCAGAATTGCAAAATAATGGCATTGCACACACTCTTAACTTTATCCATCTACACTGCTATTTTCTCATAAACTACAAAAAATTTGCACGAAAATGCAAAAAAATTCTGTGAATCTTTAAACTCGGTAAAAAGCACACGTATGAAATTACCTGATCGCGAAAATGTATATATTCTTTCCAAGGATGAACATTTCCACGTATAAAATAAATAAAATATCCCAAAAATTTTTACCTCTAAATTATCTATTATATTATAAACGTCACCAACGAATTCATAACGCAAACATTACAAATGGTTACGAATATTTAAATTATTTCCATACACGTTTACTTCAACTGAAACGTATACCAAATTCCTACAAACATAAAATTCACAAAATAACTATCATTTAATTAAAATATCACTAAACCATGTACACGTCGACTTATTTTTACTTAAAAAAACATCCCAGAATTGCACAAAAATGGCATTGCGCACACTATTCACTAGTGATGGGCAACTTCGGTACATTCTTGTACCCGGTACGAGAGTAACGGGTACAGACAAGTACGCGGTACAAAATACCCGTTACTCAAAGAACCGTTACTTTGAAAAGTACCGAAAACCGATTTCAAGTACTGAGTACCCAAGTAACGATTTGGAGTACCGAAGTAATGAAATACCGGAGTAACGGTTTTCTGTACCGGAGTACCCTAGTAACGGTTTACCGTACCGGAGTACCCTAGTAACGATTTGGAGTACCGAAGTACCTTAGTAACGATTTGGAGTACCAAAATACGCAGCTAACGATTTTGCGCACTGAAGGAACTTCTGCCACGTCACCACGTGTTTGATTTTATCTGTACGGAGTTGAGATTTTGAATATCAGAAAACATGTCAACTACGGAAGTGTCTGATGAGCAGACCATTCCATGGACACAAGGAGCGCAATATCACCATTTCGCAAATACAACCAGATACTACTGTCCTCGTACCAAAACCGAAGTGAGCTGAACCCTCATCGATCCTCCAGTAACGAATACCGAAATACCGAGAAGAGACGCATATTTTCGTTACAAAGTAACGAATACCGAAAAGCAGCCGTTTCGGTACAGAAGTAACGAATACCGAAAAGTACCCATTTCGGTACAGAAGTAATGAATACCGAAAAGTACCGATTTCGGTACTGAAGTAACGGGTACTTGGATGTACCGATTTTCAGTACCAGTTACAAAATACCCGGTTCGGTAGTACCGACTCATCACTACTCTTCACTATATCCATGTACACTGCTTTTTCTCATAAATTAGAAAGATTTCACGAAAATGCATGAAAATTTTATGAATCTTTAAATCTGGTAAAAAGAACATATATGAAATTACCTGATCTCAAAAAGTATATACCCTTTCCAAAGAGGAACATTTCCACGTATAAAATAAATAAAATATACAAAAACTTTTACCTCTAAATTATCTATTATATTATAAACGAATTCATACCTGCAAACATTACAAATGGTTACAAATACTTAGTGTAAATATTTAAAATATTTAAATTAATTCCATGCAAATATTAAAATTATTTCCATGCACGTTTACTTCAACTGAAACGTATACCAAATTCCTACAAACATAAAATTCACAAAATAACTATCATTTAATTAAAATATCTCTAAACCATGTACACATCGACTTATTTTTACTTAAAAAAAATCCCAGAATTGCACAAAAATGGCATTGTGCACACTCTTCACTATATCCATGTGCACTGTTTTTTTCTCATAAATTAGAAAAAATTTCACGAAAATGCTTGAAAATACTCAACGTATTCTACTCAAACGTATTCCAAAATACTACAAACATATAACTCACAAAATCACGATCATTAAATTAAAATATAATTAAGTTAAAAAACACTACTTAAAATATAAATAAGCACATACATTAAATTAATAAAAATTAGATTACAATCCTAATTACTTTAAACTAAATCATTGCTAATAACAATTTTCCAATAATATCATATTAATTTATTTACTCCTTACATTTAGAACAATGCATAA